TTCTAGAGGGTCGTGACATGGTGCGTGACGTACTTGTGTGGCTTGCCATGAAATGCCATTGCAGCAAAATCTGAATCGCCGTATAGTATAGCAGCGTCCATGTCGCTGTCTTCGCTAATGGAGCCATGCAGCCCTGACAGAGCATCTTGCGCAGCAGCCAGGTCATTCTAAAATCGCAAGAATTCCACAACTTTGCTACATTTGGTAGGAATTTGCAGTTAACGTACAGTCAACGTTCAGTTAACGTTCAGTCAACGTTACAGTCAACGTTCCAGTTAACGTTGCGAAAATGCTGGCAGGGGCAGCATTTTGGAGTTTTCAAGCATAAAAAGCAAGAAATACATGTATTTCTTGCTTTTTATGCTTGAAAACTCCAAAATGCTGCCCCTGCCAGCATTTTCGCAACGTTAACTGGAACGTTGACTGTAACGTTGACTGAACGTTGACTGAACGTTGACTGTGACTTCTATGCAACGTTGCCTGACTGGAAGTATCTGCAAGCCATGTAGGAAAGCCACGAGCAGGCCAAAGCTAGACCCCGCTCTGGGGACGACTCGAGTAATGACGTTTCTAGAGGCTCGTGATATGACGTTTCTAGAGGGTCGTGACATGGTGCGTGACGTACTTGTGTGGCTTGCCATGAAATGCCATTGCAGCAAAATCTGAATCGCCGTATAGCAGCGTCCATGTCGCTGTCTTCGCTAATGGAGCCATGCAGCCCTGACAGTGCATCTTGCGCAGCAGCCAGGTCATTCTAAAATCGCAAGAATTCCACAACTTTGCTACATTTGGTAGGAATTTGCAGTTAACGTACAGTCAACGTTCAGTTAACGTTCAGTCAACGTTACAGTCAACGTTCCAGTTAACGTTGCGAAAATGCTGGCAGGGGCAGCATTTTGGAGTTTTCAAGCATAAAAAGCAAGAAATACATGTATTTCTTGCTTTTTATGCTTGAAAACTCCAAAATGCTGCCCCTGCCAGCATTTTCGCAACGTGAACTGGAACGTTGACTGTAACGTTGACTGAACGTTGACTGAACGTTGACTGTGACTTCTATGCAACGTTGCCCTGACTGGAAGTATCTGCAAGCCATGTAGGAAAGCCACGAGCAGGCCAAAGCTAGACCCCGCTCTGGGGACTGACTCGAGTAATGACGTTTCTAGAGGCTCGTGATATGACGTTTCTAGAGGGTCGTGACATGGTGCGTGACGTACTTGTGTGGCTTGCCATGAAATGCCATTGCAGCAAAATCTGAATCGCCGTATAGTATAGCAGCGTCCATGTCGCTGTCTTCGCTAATGGAGCCATGCAGCCCTGACAGTGCATCTTGCGCAGCAGCCAGGTCATTCTAAAATCGCAAGAATTCCACAACTTTGCTACATTTGGTAGGAATTTGCAGTTAACGTACAGTCAACGTTCAGTTAACGTTCAGTCAACGTTACAGTCAACGTTCCAGTTAACGTTGCGAAAATGCTGGCAGGGGCAGCATTTTGGAGTTTTCAAGCATAAAAAGCAAGAAATACATGTATTTCTTGCTTTTTATGCTTGAAAACTCCAAAATGCTGCCCCTGCCAGCATTTTCGCAACGTTAACTGGAACGTTGACTGTAACGTTGACTGAACGTTGACTGAACGTTGACTGTGACTTCTATGCAACGTTGCCCTGACTGGAAGTATCTGCAAGCCATGTAGGAAAGCCACGAGCAGGCCAAAGCTAGACCCCGCTCTGGGGACGACTCGAGTAATGACGTTTCTAGAGGCTCGTGATATGACGTTTCTAGAGGGTCGTGACATGGTGCGTGACGTACTTGTGTGGCTTGCCATGAAATGCCATTGCAGCAAAATCTGAATCGCCGTATAGTATAGCAGCGTCCATGTCGCTGTCTTCGCTAATGGAGCCATGCAGCCCTGACAGTGCATCTTGCGCAGCAGCCAGGTCATTCTAAAATCGCAAGAATTCCACAACTTTGCTACATTTGGTAGGAATTTGCAGTTAACGTACAGTCAACGTTCAGTTAACGTTCAGTCAACGTTACAGTCAACGTTCCAGTTAACGTTGCGAAAATGCTGGCAGGGGCAGCATTTTGGAGTTTTCAAGCATAAAAAGCAAGAAATACATGTATTTCTTGCTTTTTATGCTTGAAAACTCCAAAATGCTGCCCCTGCCAGCATTTTCGCAACGTTAACTGGAACGTTGACTGTAACGTTGACTGAACGTTAACTGAACGTTGACTGTGACTTCTATGCAACGTTGCCCTGACTGGAAGTATCTGCAAGCCATGTAGGAAAGCCACGAGCAGGCCAAAGCTAGACCCCGCTCTGGGGACTGACTCGAGTAATGACGTTTCTAGAGGCTCGTGATATGACGTTTCTAGAGGGTCGTGACATGGTGCGTGACGTACTTGTGTGGCTTGCCATGAAATGCCATTGCAGCAAAATCTGAATCGCCGTATAGTATAGCAGCGTCCATGTCGCTGTCTTCGCTAATGGAGCCATGCAGCCCTGACAGTGCATCTTGCGCAGCAGCCAGGTCATTCTAAAATCGCAAGAATTCCACAACTTTGCTACATTTGGTAGGAATTTGCAGTTAACGTACAGTCAACGTTCAGTTAACGTTCAGTCAACGTTACAGTCAACGTTCCAGTTAACGTTGCGAAAATGCTGGCAGGGGCAGCATTTTGGAGTTTTCAAGCATAAAAAGCAAGAAATACATGTATTTCTTGCTTTTTATGCTTGAAAACTCCAAAATGCTGCCCCTGCCAGCATTTTCGCAACGTTAACTGGAACGTTGACTGTAACGTTGACTGAACGTTAACTGAACGTTGACTGTGACTTCTATGCAACGTTGCCCTGACTGGAAGTATCTGCAAGCCATGTAGGAAAGCCACGAGCAGGCCAAAGCTAGACCCCGCTCTGGGGACGACTCGAGTAATGACGTTTCTAGAGGCTCGTGATATGACGTTTCTAGAGGGTCGTGACATGGTGCGTGACGTACTTGTGTGGCTTGCCATGAAATGCCATTGCAGCAAAATCTGAATCGCCGTATAGTATAGCAGCGTCCATGTCGCTGTCTTCGCTAATGGAGCCATGCAGCCCTGACAGTGCATCTTGCGCAGCAGCCAGTCATTCTAAAATCGCAAGAATTCCACAACTTTGCTACATTTGGTAGGAATTTGCAGTTAACGTACAGTCAACGTTCAGTTAACGTTCAGTCAACGTTACAGTCAACGTTCCAGTTAACGTTGCGAAAATGCTGGCAGGGGCAGCATTTTGGAGTTTTCAAGCATAAAAAGCAAGAAATACATGTATTTCTTGCTTTTTATGCTTGAAAACTCCAAAATGCTGCCCCTGCCAGCATTTTCGCAACGTTAACTGGAACGTTGACTGTAACGTTTACTGAACGTTAACTGAACGTTGACTGTGACTTCTATGCAACGTTGCCCTGACTGGAAGTATCTGCAAGCCATGTAGGAAAGCCACGAGCAGGCCAAAGCTAGACCCCGCTCTGGGGACTACTCGAGTAATGACGTTTCTAGAGGCTCGTGATATGACGTTTCTAGAGGGTCGTGACATGGTGCGTGACGTACTTGTGTGGCTTGCCATGAAATGCCATTGCAGCAAAATCTGAATCGCCGTATAGTATAGCAGCGTCCATGTCGCTGTCTTCGCTAATGGAGCCATGCAGCCCTGACAGAGCATCTTGCGCAGCAGCCAGGTCATTCTAAAATCGCAAGAATTCCACAACTTTGCTACATTTGGTAGGAATTTGCAGTTAACGTACAGTCAACGTTCAGTTAACGTTCAGTCAACGTTGCAGTCAACGTTCCAGTTAACGTTGCGAAAATGCTGGCAGGGGCAGCATTTTGGAGTTTTCAAGCATAAAAAGCAAGAAATACATGTATTTCTTGCTTTTTATGCTTGAAAACTCTAAAATGCTGCCCCTGCCAGCATTTTCGCAACGTTAACTGGAACGTTGACTGTAACGTTGACTGAACGTTGACTGAACGTTGACTGTGACTTCTATGCAACGTTAGTCAGAGTAGACCTTGCCCAGTTTGGGTAATAATGCCACCGCCAACCCATTAGATGATCATTCCTATACTCCCCCCTACACATCACCGATAAATCACAACTGCTACCCCCATTAGATGATTATTCCTATACTCCCCCCTACACATCACCGATAAATCACAACTACTACCCCCATTAGATGATTATTCCTATACTCCCCCCTACACATCACCGATAAATCACTACTACTTACTACTTCCCCCATTAGATGATCATTCCTATACTCCCCCCTAAATTTCACCGATATATCACTACTACTACCCCATTATCAACACAATTCTAGGAATAACCATAACCCCATCTATTACCTCTAAGGTGGCATTATTACTCAAAAGGGGCAAGGGGGGTCTCGTAGGATTTGGTTCAGGGTTTAGGGTCAGGGTTATCGTTGTTTCTTTTTCGGCATATCACCCGCATCCAACCCAAGATACAATCGGCAAATCGCCATACACAAGATGCAATCTTTAGCCCGACAACCTACTACCCAACCTCTGAGAAACGGCGCACCTTTGACAGAGGGCGCTAGGGCATTGATAATATCTTTCTGCGTTGCGGAGCCACTCGGTTTGCTTCATCAACAGCGGCCACAGCCACGACGGCGCCTTGCACGAGGACACGTCCCTTAGTGTGAGTGCCTGCACGTGTTTGCGGCGCATGTGGATTAGTGCAGTTCTGACAGGCTTAAATGCAATTTGATTCGGTTTGCTGGAATTTCCATGCGTGTCTGGGTTGTCAGGATCGAGAACTTCAGTGTCAGTTTTAGCGGGGTTGGTTGGCGATGCTCCATTGGGCGGATGTCTTCTCAAGTTGGTGGTAGCATTCTATTTTTAGCAATGTCGAACATGTCACACAGTTTTGCAGCACTAGTAGGTCAACCTATTGTCAGGGGGGGGGGTCCGCAGGTAGCTTGTTATGTGGACGCCTGCAGCCATGGCAAGCCAGTGTTTTTGGTTCAAGATCGTCGTCGGCGGTTCCCACGAGGCTGACTTCGTTCACTACGCCGAAGACGATATCGTGGCGAGCATCAAGCATAAAATCATCAGACAGAACCCGCGCCTGAGCCAAGTCAACCCTGGCGAACTCACTCTCAAAGCAGCATCTGGAGAGGCTGCAGCTCAGCTGTTGGTCATTACTATGTGATGAGTTTTTTCTTTTCTTTGATCAGCAGTTGTCAGGTAGGCTGAGTGAGATTCTGTTCAGGCACTTGCCGTGGACTCGAAGATATCCCTACTCGTTGCCCAGGGCTATGGCGCACATGCCGACACCGCAGTCTTGGTTGATCATTTGCCCGATTTTGCAGGCGCCATGGCTGCATTGGTTCTTCCTTTTGCTCTTTCCCGCCATCATCCAACTTCCAGCCTGGTTAGTCAGCCTAATTCGTCAGTTTGTTTGGATACCTTAATGCGACTTGGTGCGACTGTGTTGCTTGTGACAGGTGCGGCCATTCATCCAAGAGCTGCGCCAACTGCAGCAGTGCAGTTGAACCAGTTGTCCCTTTGCGAGGAAGTCTTGGGAGCTGTCCAACAAGAGCAGTGGATCCGGTGCCGAATCTCCTACAGGTCCCGTGATGCTACTGTATCGAAAGGAGAGACTAGTCTATTTCCAAGCTACACATTTGTTCTGAACTTTTTTAGTCAAACAGCACCTCTGACAGGTCAACTGATTATGGCATCAAGGCTCGCTTGTCTGACCACGTGGAAAAGTATTTTCCTGGCGCTTTGGGTGGAACAGTGCAGCGAAGAGAGAATGTGACCGTGGTGACCATTGAAGGCACCTACCACAGCGTGCGCTCTCTTTTGGAGTGGATGCAGACGCACATGCCCTACCCAAGAGATGCAACCTCGAAGACGCTTATCATCCAGGCCAAATATAAACAGTTCAAGGTGTTGAAAAGCCACCCGGAGCCACGGTCAGAGCATTCTTCTGGCAATGTTGCCGATGAAGGATCCAGTGTTTCATCACGGTCAGATGCACGCACCCCAAGCCGAATCAGCTAAGCTGGGATTCGTGCTCCCATCACAGACCCTTGCCGACAGGCTCGCTGAGATTGCAAAATGTCTCAGAGTCATATTCTGCGTTTGAGTTGGGCTCGACAAATTATTAAGTGTAGATGCATGTAGGCTGATTAGGTGCAGAGATGATTTGCAGACCTGAGTAAGTCGTAGCTGCATAAAGCACACGACACAAAACATGTGTTTCTTGGCGGCCCTCCCCGACAGTCTCCAAAAATTGTGGGGGACTCTCCCCAAAATTTTAGGGGACACTCCCCCAAAATTCTAGGGGACTCTCCCCCAAAATTCTAGGGGACTCTCCCCCAAAATTCTAGGGGACACACCCCCAAAATTCTAGGGGACACTCCCCCAAAAATCTAGGGGACACTTCAGGGGACCCAAACTCACTACCTCCCACTCCCCCCGGCGCGAGGAGAAACGACGACAAGCTCAACGTCAATCCTCGTTCTCTACAACACCACCGAGAACGCGCAGACCGACATCTACCTCCACCAGTGCCTTGGTTAATATATAACAAATACTTTCAAAAAATAAAACAATAAACAACAAAAGTACAACAAAATACAAGCCTGAAGCATAACGGTTTTAAAACGATAAAAACACAAAAATCGCAACAAAAACATTGGAAAACACCATACACAAACAAGCAGAAAACAAAAAAAACACAAAAAGCAATTTTCAAAATCACGGGTAGTAAACTTTTTGGGTTTAGGGTGGTATCAACCATAGCATAATAAAATAAATAATGTGTTGCTTGTTTAATCCGTTAAGTCAAACACAGGTTTATTCAATAGCGTTCTAACGATTTTGTTAAAATCATACGCTGTAGCATTAATATTATATTTCATTTTGTATTGTATCCATTCTTGTATTTCTTTTTTGTCTCTGCAAAACATCATTTCATTAAACAACTTCTTAAACATGTTGTATCTCTTCAAAGTTATGTTTGTGATCACATGTTTGACTGTATCATATAACGGGAATATTTCATCCAAGCTTAAAATAAGTTTACCAGCATCATACAAACATAATTCATTGGTTTCAAGTAGTTCTTCTAATGCTTCCTCTTTTTCTATAGCCTGTTCACATGTCCAACACCGATAAGTAAAGCCATAGATATTATTAATAATATTTTCTGGTAGTGGCAATTCGTATAATGTGCGATAATGATCATGTTTCTTACAATCCTTACATTTACACTTATCCCTCTTTCCCCTACTTTCCCTGATGTAATCTCTAACCTTGATAACATCCAAGAACTGATTAATAATTTCATCCTGTTCTTTCCGATTGAACATGTCCCTGATAATATATGTAGGTGTTATTTCTTTAAATGTTTTCTTAAGAAAAGTTTTTATCAAAAGAAAAATTAAACTTTTAACAACTCAAAGCGTAAATAAGCCCTATTATTTCCTTCAACATAATAATGTTTTTGACCCAATTTTTCATCAATTCTTTCTATGGTATAAACATTTTGCGACCAATTTGATACACGTTCTTTTTCATTGGGTTTCCTCTTCCTGAATATTTTAACTTCATCGCCAACACTTAATTCAGGATAGACCCGATTTCGTTTAGCATTCATATTTAAGTGCAGTTTAACTTTTAATTCGTTGCTCGGTTTTCTGGCATCCTTTGGGGTGAAGCCAGTAGCGGAATGTTTCATTTTATTGTTATATGTTAATAATATTTCAAAAATATAATCGGTCCACTGAATATTGTTCTTACTTTTTTTCTGATCGGCTTCAACACGACGATATAATAAATCTTTGAACGTCCTAATGGCCCTTTCGCTGAAATTTGCGTGTGCCCTAGTTCTATAGTGTTCTATGTTCTGTTCCTGTAAATACTTTTGTATTGCCTCCTTGTTCATGGCGGGTTCATCATCGGTAAAAATCATCTTTGGCTTCTTCCCCATTTTATGTAAGCTTTCAATCATCCCACTAGCTAAATCTTCCTCTTTCTTGCCTTTAATAGCCACGACATGCATGAACTTATCAAATATATCAATCATTAACATCCCTACTCTAAATTTTTGGTTCTCCAAATCATTTATAAAGAACAAGTCCATCTGATACTCCCATCCCGAATGAGGAGCGACAAAGCTATTGGAACCAACAGGTTTACGCTTCTGCTCAACATTCTTTCTAAAAAACTCATTGATGTCAGACATTGTGATGGTTTTGTCTTTCTCCCGTGCTTCTTCTAATGTGCGATTCTTACTACCGAAACCGCTTCTATCGTAATAAACCTTGCTAATTATATCATCTTTATTAGAACTACTCATTATAATAAAGATGATATTATTTTTGCTCTTCAGACTTCGCGCAGACATACTCCAACTGTTTTTTTGTCCTTAGATGTTTGGCTTTGTCTCCTTTCCTATGTTCTGACCCACATTCGCACAACACCCTTTGAGCTTGATTATTCAGAACTTTGGTTCTATTTCCTTCGTAATATTCTCGGTGCTTGTGACATATTGCTTCTCTATGTAAATGATAATGTTGTTGGTGTCGCTCATTGATTATATCTTTGTTGTCTTGATAATATTGCTCATCAGTTCTACCAGCTATCCGTTTTTTGATACAGTCGTTGATCTGAATGTGTTTTCCTTCGTGTTGTCTTAACTCGTCCCTGTTGTTTACTGCGACGGCCTCCAATAGTTCAATCTTACAGTTGTCCAAACCAAACTCATCAAACAAGTCAAACGCCGATAAATAACTTGTTTTCTTGCCTTTTGCGAACTGCTTGTAAATGGCCCTGTGTCTTGCCATTCGTTGGCTCAGTTCTTCGCAAGTAGATCCGATGTAGCACTTGTTATACCCAACATCAACAATTTTGTAGATTTTTCCATTATGATATTTGTTCATCTCCCTACTTATCCTTAGTTATCTTTTCTTTAAATAATGATTTAATAACTAGATTAAATCATCATTCGTCATCCATCGGCTTTATGATCTTGAACTTGCTCATATCATATTTGGGTGTGCCGCGCTTTGCTTTAAAGGGCTTTTTTGCATTCATTATTTCATATAGCAATTCTTCTGTCAACTCATCGGGGTTCAGTTTGATATTGTTAGCTTCTTCATACTCCTTGATCTTCTTTCTCTGATTGTGTCGTAGTGCAGATTCTCGTTTCTTTTGCATATATTTTTCATCATTTCTGCGCTTGTTGTAATACAATCTGCTGTATATGGCCAGTTGCTCTTTGATTTCATCCATTGTCATATCCTCGGGGTTTTTACTCATATTATACTATACTATATATTATTTTTTATCTTTAGACATATTTCTATATATTAAAAAAACATTTAGTATTTTAAAAAATCCTTGGAAAATTTATACTTAAAAAGAAAATAAATATATAGTTTAATTATATTAGTATATGTCCAAAGCCATTAAGCGTAATACAGAAGCACTACAAACATTTTATACCAACAGAAGAAACCGCATCAACCAAGCCACCAGAACACAAGTTCAAAATATAATTAGCTTATATTCAGATCGTAAGATTGCCCAATTCACCACAGCAGACGATTTAATCAGGAAACTCACCACCGCAAAAACAGACAAAGAAAAAACTAAAGCAGAAAAAGAATACAACAAGATTTATGACAAGCACAAGGATAAAGAACAATTAGGTCAGAGAATGGCCCAAGCAAAAGAAGACAACAAACGAACGGGAAGAACCAACCCGAGGAAACCAAAAAAATATTCAATCAATGTTCATTTATATAGGCTTAAGACAGAAGCAGACAAAGGTGTATTAAAAACGTCTTTTAGAGACAGTAGGGGTCGGGAATATGTCCCAGTATACATGAACCCTTTAACTGCTAATGTGCATACAACACAGTGGGTAGAAAAATTAGCGGGGAGACGCATATTCAAATATGAGAAAGCCGATTCTAAGACGTTCTATAGGCTCAAGTTGCTATCAGTGACAGATGACAGTTTTAAAGCCGAAGTTGGTTACGCAGAAGGTTACATTGACTGTATTAAAGTTAATTATGCCGAAAGGGTAGATAACGCCGATGCTTTCAAGCCACAAGACGAAGATCTAACAAACACAGTGAATGTCAGTATGTATCACAGATATATTCAGACCCCACTAGATCCACAGTATGAGACCTTTAAGGAAGCCATTAAAGTAGAACATTATGTTAGGAACGAGTGTTGGTTTAACACCTTGACCGATTATTATAAGGATACCCTTATGGGAGATAACAAGCGAGAGAAGAACAAACTAACAAAAGAAGCCATCCTAAAGATCATAAATAAGACGGAAGAAGATTTTAAAACAAAAGGGGCATCAATAACAGACATGGCCAAGGTGTTTGAACATTTTAACTTGCAAGTGAGAATATATGATGCCTTTAATACTCTAATTTATAAACGCGACCCAATAAAGAGAAATCATCACATCCCAGCCTTATACGCTATAGTGAAGAACAATCACATCTACACGGCAAGTGATAATGTGAATATGTTGAAGCAGATGATACCCAAAAGCAGTAATTATAGTATATCTGTTAAGGCATCTTCAGATTATCACCTGAACGAGAAGGAAGAACCAGTGGAATGTAAAATGATCACATGTCTAGACGACATCCGGAAGTATACCGAGCACAGCGAATATACATTGGTATATAATGGCTACGATCTGTCTCATCTCTTTTATCTTAGCAAACAAGCAGGGTATGAGCCACAGGTTAGGTTTAGCGCGGGATGTGTGTCTGAACTTAACTTCAAGTTTAAGATCAAGATAAACAACAAGACCCACAAAGAGATTAAATACAAGGTTAAGACCCAGAACTTAGTGAATAATTCTATAGATGGTTCCATCTGCGTGAGAACGGAGCAGATCTACAACAAGATGTCCAAAGCGATGTTTAATTTTAACACCGCCCTCTTCAAGCCTACTCACAAGTCATA